TATTCTGTTGGAAGCAGTGCTTTTTTTTCTGGGGGGACGGAGGGGTATGCATACCCCTAAACGTTTTGTGAATCTTTGTACTTTTGTCCATTGACTCTATTGATTTTTCCCGATTTGAACTATAAAATGGTGATTTTCTTGAGTCAAAATGAGAGTACCCCAAAACATTATTTTAGGGGTGGGGAGCACTGGTTGGAAGCCACCCAGAGTGACTGGGGCAACTGAGTCAGATGAGTGAGGTATAAATAAAAAAGTATTATTAATATTTCTGTACAAATGAAGGGAGATGCTCATGAGTGCTATCCTAGATTGGTAGAATCCTGTGCATGCTGATGTTGTCTCCACCTAAGCCGTTCCTGGTTGACTCTGCTTCTGATTTCACCGCTTTCTCAGTAGCATGTTCCCAGGAGAGAGAGAGAGATATGAAAGAGGAGATTTATTTTGTGGGCAAGCCCTTCTGCAGATTATTGGTTTCCCCTCTTCCTTCTTCCTCAGAAAACACCTCACCACAAGAGAGCCCCTTTCCTCCACTTGCTGTGGCAGATGTTACCAAATTCTACACACCTGTCTCTGCCGCGCGGCATTTCCTTGCGAGAGTCAGTCGAGCAAACGGTGAGAATTAACCATAAGGACGTTTCTCTCCCCCACCGCTCAGCAAATCCTTCTATCTATTATCCTGACACAATTGCTGCGTTCTGGGCACTTAACCCAGGAGATTAAATCTTTATGCACCAGTGCAGAAAGATCATATCTCTGTAATTTTTCATATCTATAATTTTCCAGCCACCTTGTTTTAAGCCTGTCACATTTATGGCACAACTGTAATTTAGGGGCACGTTTTCGAATGCCATTCTCAGAAGACATTACTCTCTCGGGGTGCTACGAAAAAGGAAGGCTTCTTTTAAGCAAGCACTGAGTTGGTTCTATTTCTTAGCCTATGACTTCTGAGGTTTGGTGTACAAGATGAGAAACATGTAGCTAGAAGTCATCTTCCAGTTGTTTGAAATGTTGAAGACTTCCTTTCCAGTAGCACTTAAAATGGAAGGCCAAAGCAGTAAAGACTCCCACGAGGGCCGGCCCTATCATTAGGCGCAGTCAGGTTGCCTCAGGCAAATGAGTTTGGCAGGAAATTCTACAGAAGGGTCAGACTATTTCCGTCCTGCGTAAGTTTTACATGCATTCAGTCCCAAGCAAGAATGAACAAATCTGTCAATGTTGGCTTCTCTCAGTTTCTCATTTGGCACTCTTAAATTCAGTTCTCTGCAAAGCTGCTTCAATTTGAAATGGCTTCCCCCCCATTTTTTAAAAGTCCTCATGAAAATTCGCGAACATTTTTTAGAACCATGGAATTGTAGAGTTGGAAGGGATCTTGATGGTCATCGAGTCCAACGCCCTGCAATGCAGGAATCTCAACTAAATCCATCCAACACACACTCACACACAGCACTTTTAATGGTTCTCCAAGACCTATGGGGGGAGGAAAAAGAAAAACTGGGACATTCCTGGATCAAATCAGAAACTGGGACGGCTTCCATAATTCCAGAACTGTTCCTGGAAAAATTGGAGCACTTGGAGGATATGCATTGGGCATAGAGCTGGATTTTACTGCTACATGTAAAGGTAAAGGGACCCCTGACCGTTAGGTCCAGTCGCAGATGACTCTGGGGTTGCGGCACTCATCTCACTTTACCGGCCAAGTGAGCTTCTGGGTCATGTGGCCAGCATGACTAAGCTGCTTCCGGTGAACCAGAGCAGCACACAGAAACGCCATTTACCTTCCCGCAGGAGTGGTACCTATTTATCTACTTGCACTTTGACGTGCTTTCGAACTGCTAGGTGTGCAGGAGTTGGGACCGAGCAACGGGAGCTCACCCTGTCGTGGGAATTCGAACCGCTGACCTTCTGATCAGCAAGCCCTAGGCTCTGTGGTTTAACCCACAGCGCCACCCGCCTCCCATGTAGTAAGCACATATTCCTCAGTTGTATAATAAACGATTGCAAATCTCCAAGGAACAGTAGCCATTTTTGTGTTTTCATTCTCCTATTCATGTTCAGCAACTCAAAATCTATCAGAAATGGCTACTTCTATCTCAGAGTCATGGCTTTTGTCAAAATTAGTTGTGCAGTGTTATGTCTTTCTCCCTGCTGCACCTTAATCTGTGATTTTGTTGATTTCCATTTCCCCCCCCTGCTGTACTGATTCTGCTTTACAGCAGCCAGCAAGGTAAACAGTTATTCCAAAGCAGCTTTCTATCCCCCCCCCCCTTCAGTTATTCCGTACAAATTCTCTTTGGATCAAATGGGATACAGTGGTACCTTGGGTTAAGAACTTAATTCATTCTGGAGGTCCTTTCTTAACCTGAAACTGTTCTTAACCTGAGGTACCACTTTAGCTAATGGGGCCTCCCACCGCCGCCATGCGATTTCTGTTCTCATCCTGAAGCAAAGTTCTTAACCCAAGGTACTATTTCTGGGTTAGCGGAGTCTGTAACCTGAAGCATCTGTAACCCGAGGTACCACTGTAATTGAAGGGCAACTCTTAAGGAAAATGCCATACTGGTGCCAAGGCCTTGCAGGAGAGGAGGGAGGAAATGGTTTAAAATTCAGCTTTGAGCCTGATCTCCTCTCTCTTTCCCATCACTGAGTTTTCCTTCTTGGCTTTCCTCCCTCTTCTTCTTCTTCTTTTTTTGTGAACCAAGAAATTACATAGCTTCCCTGGGCTCTGAGCAGCGCAACCTCAAAAGACAGGCACCTCTAAACAGTTGTGCAATGCAAGCAAACAGCAGCCGGCACATACTGCATTTCTGACGGCACATTACTGATTTATGGAATTCTTTGGGGTTTGGATGGCAATGGTGATTTTGAAAAATGCTGGCATTTCCAAGAACACTGGCGGTCCAGAAAGAGCAGGTCCTTTCAGAGAAGGAGGGGATGTGTGCCACATCACACTAACCCATCTGACCACGCTTGGCATCCTCCTTGCTAGGCTTGGAAAACAGCCTGGATTCAGAACCAGCTCAAAGTGATGGTTCTCAGAAGTTTCCCCCCAAAAAGGATGGGTGGTTGTTAAGGGAGAGATGCAAGATTATTCCCAGGATCCTGTCCCTTCTTGAGGGATGATTGGGGCACACGTTTAAGGCTATGGTTCCTGATTCTTTTGTGGCTGGTTTTCTTTCTTTTTAAAAAAATATTCTTTATTGAAAGATTTTTTAAAAAAACACATAATTACAAGTGCACAAAGTAAGACACAAAAAGAAAAAGAAAAAGAAAGAAAGAAATAGTACCCATGTAGAAAACAAAACAGAATAACAACAACAACAAAAAGTTTCTGTATTTGTTATTGTAGTTAACCAGACCTTAACCTAACACAGTATTTCTGAAAATGAATCCCAAATATCATTGAATTTATCCATGGCAAGTCTACTTTTTGTATGCAATTTGTTTATGTGTAGCAAGTTTGTACATGCCTTCAATCCAATCATTAAGGGAAGACGCATTTTTGTTTTTCCAGTTCATCGATACCTGTCTTTTTGCCATAGTTAGTGAATGGCTTGTTTTCCTTTTAAGTATTCAGATGACTTGATTATTGAGCTTTCATGGCTTGCACAATCCTTATGAGGAGATTAGATTGTGTCTGGTCTCCGGCTGCATTCACACGACAGTTTATTCCGTTTTCATGATGTTTCCCTAACCGTTCATTCCCACATTATATCTGAGCTTTTGCATGATGTAAAAGCCACATGTATCACTTCCATATTCCAAGTAGAGTGGAATATAGCACAAGTTTAGCACTCATTTCCATATTATTTGCAAACAGATTTCACCCCAGAAGCAAATAACATGGAAATGTTCACTGAACCTATGCTGTACTCCACTAGATTTCCAGATGTGGCTTTTATACTGTGCAAAAGCTCAAATATAATGTGGGACCTAACAGTCTGGGAAAAGTAACAAAAACAGAATAAGCTGCCATGCGAATGCAGCTTTTATTGAATATTTGTTCTGCTTTATTTGTTGGGAGGTCGTACGACAACGAGCATTCATTCTGCATTCATCCGAATTTGCTTGCAGGGCGTTTTAACGTCTTCTTTTTCTTAATCATTCATTTGTTCCACACTTTTCGATCCATTTCACTGCCACTTTCCTAACCCACAATCAATCACTTTCCCAGGGAATTATGGGAGTTGTCAAACCACAGTTCCCAGGATCCTTTGGGAGAAGCCAAGTAATAGTGCCACTGTATTCTGCTCTGGTCAGACCTCACCTGGAGTACTGTGTCCAGTTCTGGGCACCACAGTTCAAGAAGGACACTGACAAACTGGAACGTGTCCAGAGGAGGGCAACCAAAATGGTCAATGGCCTGGAAACGATGCCTTATGAGGAACGGCTAAGGGAGCTGGGCATGTTTAGCCTGGAGAAGAGGAGGTTAAGGGGTGATATGATAGCCATGTTCAAATATATAAAAGGATGTCACATAGAGGAAGGAGAAAGGTTGTTTTCTGCTGCTCCAGAGAAGCGGACATGGAGCAATGGATCCAAACTACAAGAAAGAAGATTCCACCTAAACATTAGGAAGAACTTCCTGACAGTAAGAGCTGTTCGACAGTGGAATTTGCTGCCAAGGAGTGTGGTGGAGTCTTTGGAGACCTCCTTCTTTGGAGGTCTTTAAGCAGAGGCTTGACAACTATATATCAGGAGTGCTCTGATGGTGTTTCCTGCTTGGCAGGGGGTTGGACTCGATGGCCCTTGTGGTCTCTTCCAACTCTATGATTCTATGATTCTAAGCCATGGCTATTTAATGTGGTGTGAGATTGCTTTAAGTGTACAATGCAGAGAGGGCTATAGGTCAGCTCTACTCTCCTGTGCCCTGTTTTAGACGTAAGACTCAGACAAAATATGGCCCCATTATACATGACCAGGGCAGATGCAGAGAGGACAAACCTCCTATCGTCTGTTGTTGAGCCCTGGGCGACTGCCATTTTGTTCCCTGGTCTTGGCAGAGCTGTTTACTTGCTCTTCATCTGTGGCACAGACTTTTAGACCTCACAGAGGCTGCCCCAGAGTCAGCGAGAGCTTGGCTGAGGGATTCTCTTCCCATATTAATCATTCATCCGAAAGCTCAAATAGACGGCGCAAAAGGCAACAGATCAGTCAAGCCATAGATCTGCCCAAAGTGCATAGCAACATAACCGCCTCCCGCTACATTCCACCTTGTCTGGGTAAGGCTTGTTTATAATTGTTTACAGATATTGCTGGGCTTGCAAGTTCACTCTAGGCAACATTTAAATGCACCATGATTTTGGTGCACCTTTTTTTTTTTAATAGAAAACCCCAATCAGCTTTAATCGCTTTTCATGGGGCAAACATGAACTTGATTTTACCCCCAACTGAAATCAATAGGATTTTTATTTCTTTTTTGCAAGACACCAGGCATCTTGAAGAAGTGACTCCTGCAGGACTCTTTACTCCCACCACCACTTTTGTTGATTATCAGAGGGTGTAACGATGGCCAACCCCTTGGGGTGACTTTATAGAAGATTAGAAAAATTCCTGGTGAACTGGCCTAACAGTGGCTACTAATCTCAATGGCTATTATGTTCTCTTTCCACTTTTTTATATAGAACCATCATTTATTGTAATAATTATAGGGGTTGCTTGTGCGTAAGTTGCCGCCACTCCTGGCTAGGTTGCCTTGTTAAACCTTTTCTGTCTGGACAGCCCTTCACTTCGTGGCTGTTTCAGTCGCTAGCAGAATCCGTCAGTGGGCGTTTCTTAAACCTTTTCCAGCATAAAAGCTGTTTGACGCCAAGTCTCCTCCTACTCTCCCTGCGCGGAAGTCTTCTGCGCAGGGACGGTGTGGGTAGCGGAGGACCCATGCTCTCCCCGCTGGTCTCCGTCGAGGAGTCCTGGAGCCCCCTCGCCGATTCCCCCATCTGCCCCCCTTTATCCCTGGTGTTATGCTGATTTCCTTCCCCAGCTGATGAGCTGCCTCTCTCCCTGCTGGGCCCTTCTCCAGCATCGCTTGGGAGCCTTGCCTCCACCTCTGGCTCCGATGTCAGTTCCCTGACATCCATATACAGCCTTTTGTGGCATAGCCCACTCAGGCTGGCTTACAAGATTAAATAATATTTTTATTTATCTATTTTTAAGTATTTATGGGTAGCCTTTCCAGGCAAATGGCTGCCCAAGGCAATTGGCAACAATGCAGACCAACAACGAACATTATCGGAATTCAAAGACACATTCCAGACAGGCAAAAACAGTCAAGGAGGATGCAAGGCAGGGCAGGCGAGGAACGTGGCACAGGGAGAGTGGGTGCGGCCCAGAAGAGTCCCAGGAGCCTGATGGAGAGGCCTGATTCAGCCCCTGGGACACAGGTTCCCCATGCCTGCATCAAAGTCCTTCAAAACATTTCAAGCATACTGTAGATCTAGTGACAAGGAGTTCCAAAGCCGTGGGGCCACCACAGAGAAGGCTGTCACCTTTGTGGCCCCTGACCTAACTGATATGGGTGGCGGACACTCTAGGATACAAAGAGGACTATACAATGAAGAACAGCAACAGTAGGAACGGAGCAATCCATTTGAAACAATTTGACGCGTAAGACCGGTTAAGACAAATAAAGAAGTATACATGAAAGCAGTCTGAAAACGCTGCCTTCAGGGCCGACTCCTAAAAGGTCTTTTGCTAAAAGCAGCCGGAAAAGAAAAGCACTTTCATCGCATGCCAGCTATCATATATCTACAGGGGCATGGCTGTAAGATACCGTAACACCGGTGGCAAAATGTGAAACATCGGTTTCCACATTCGGCTTTGACGTTTGGCACTGAATATTATCTGTTGCCAAATGCGGATACTGTGGTACCTCTGGTTGCAAACGGGATCCGTTCTGGAGGCCCGTCCGCAACATGAAAAGAGCACAACCCGCAGCAGTGCGGGTTCCGATTCGCCGCTTCTGCGCATGTGTGTGACGTCATTTTGCGCTTCTGCGCATGCGTGAGTGGCGAAACCCGGAATTAACCCTTTCCTGTACTTCCGGGTCGCTGTGGGACATAACCTGAAAGAACGTAACATAAAGGTATGACTGTACAGTGGTACCTCGGGTTACATACGCTTCAGGTTACATACGCTTCAGGTTACAGACTCGGCTAACCCAGAAATATTACCTCGGGTTAAGAACTTTGCTTCAGGATGAGAACAGAAATCGTGCTCCGGCGGCGTTGCAGCAGTGGGAGGCCCCATTAGCTAAAGTGGTACCTCAGGTTAAGAACAGTTTCAGGTTAAGAACGGACCGCCGGAACGAATTAAGTACTTAACTCAAGATACCACTGTATAAGAATATCTGGGAAATACTTAACATAAAAAACCCAAAAAACCTCAGGAAGAGAAGCGATCTTGGGAGCAGAACTGCATATACCATTATGAAATGTACATTTATGGAAAAGTACTCTTGGGCAGGGGCATATCTTGGGGGGCCAGAAGGGCCCTAAGCCCAGGTGCACAATTTTCAGGGTGCGTGAACCAGACGCCCCTATGAAGAAGAAGAAGAAGAAGAAGAAGAAGAGTTTGGATTTGATATCCCGCCTTTCACTCCTTTTAAGGAGTCTCAAAGCGGCTAACATTTTCCTTTCCCTTCCTCCCCCACAACAAACACTCAGTGAGGTGAGTGGGGCTGAGAGACTTCAAAGAAGTGTGACTGGCCCAAGGTCACCCAGCAGCTGCATGTGGAGGAGCGGAGACGCGAACCCGATTCCCCAGATTACGAGACTACCACTCTTAACCACTACACCACACTGGCTGCCAGGGGTCTCTGGGGCCCCTGGCCTGGCCTCACCACTGTGTCTCTGGCCTGCTCACTGAATGGCCAGCATCGGGAGAATATGCCCGCCACGAGATGCGCCGGCCGGGCTCCCACCTGCACTGGCGAGCAGGCAGTACAACATGGTCCTCTGTGACCCGGTCTTGTGTGGTGTAGTGGTTAAGAGCGGTGGACTCGTAATCTGGTGAACTGTGTTCGATTCCCTGCTCCTTCACATGAAGCTGCTGGGTGACCTTGGGCTAGTCACACTTCTCTGAAGTCTCTCAGCCCCACTTACCTCACAGAGTGTTTGTTGTGGGGGAGGAAGGGAAAGGAGATTGTGAGCCGCTTTGAGACTCCTTCGGGATATCAAATCCAAACTCTTCTTCTTCTTCTTGTTCACACTCTGCTCCCTACCTCCAGCACCCTGGGTGCTGGCAAATGCCACAATGCCACTGCGCTTGGGGATTGTCCTCCAGCTCTAGCCCTCTTCCATCGATTCGGAAAAGTCTGAGCTTAAGGACTGTCTTCCTCTCTTAGGGAACCAGCCTGAGGATTCAGTTCCATGGGTCCTGATGAGCCAAGCTCCCAAGTTTGTGAAAGGAGAGCCCAGCAGACCCAAGCATTTGCTGAAGAATTCGTCAGCACCCGTTTTTTTTTAAAAAAAATTATTATTATTATTATTGTTATTCCAACCTGCCAGCATTGCCTGATGTGTGAATCCCTTTGACTGCTGACAACGAAAGCGTTATCAAAGCCTCGCTTTCTTGAAGCAACTCTGGGGACATCAAAAGCATTCCTTCATAATCAGGTCAAGTCATCACAAAGCACAGCATTCCCTGTGGCGGATGCTTGGCGCTCCTTCGAGTGCTTTTTTTTTCTTTTCAAGAAACACCCCACAACATGCACAATCAATCCCAATGCCCTGCTTAATTAACTACACCTTGAGAGGTCCAAAAGAAATGAGGTCAGGCAAGGTAAATGCTTGAAAGCGCCTCTCCTAAATACTTGGGTTTAAATGCAGAGAGTGTGGCTGAAGCGAAGCTCTGAATGTTATCACTAACTAATATTTCACCTCCTGGCTTGCCTGCATAGTTTTGGTCCATGCTTTCGTTTACAGCGATGGCAAGTGCAAATAGGAAGGCTTCTCACACTTCTTTTTAGCGCTAACCGCCATCCAAGGAAGGCGAGGGCTTGTCCTGAGATTGCAGACAGGGAAGGAAGACTGAAACGCCCCTTCCTCGTGGCTGGGGTGCAGATGACAATCCCATTCTCTCTGCCTGGCACTTAATTTTCAAAAGCTTGCGATGTGATTGCTGATGGCACCATGAGCTTAATGTTTCTACAGGCAGCTTGCAAAGTTACGTTTCATAGACTCATAGAATTGTCGAGCTGGAAGGGACTCCGGGGGTAATCAAGTCAAGGGTCTGGAAACCAAGCCTGATGAGGAATGGTTGAAGGAGCTGGGTATGTTTAGCATGGAAAAGAGGAGGTTGAGAGGAGATATGGTAGCCATCTTCAAATATCTCAAGGGCTGTCACATGCAAGAAGAGAAGAAGAGAAGAATTGGGATTTGATATCCCATTTTATCACTACCCGAAGGAGTCTCAAAGCGGCTGACATTCTCCTTTCCCTTCCTCCCCCACAACAAACACTCTGTGAGGTGAGTGGGGCTGAGAGACTTCAGAGAAGTGTGACTAGCCCAAGGTCACCCAGCAGCTGCATGTGGAAGAGCAGAGACACGAACCCGGTTCACCAGATTACGAGTCCCCTACTCTTAACCACTACAACGCACAGGCTCTGGAAGAGGGAGCAAGCTTGTTTTCTCCTGTGCAGAGGGTAGGACTCGAACCAACAGCTTTAAGTTACAAGAAAGGAGATTCTGACTAAACATCAGGAAGAACTTTCTGAGCTGTTTGATAGTGGAACAGGCTTCCTCAGGAGGTTGAGGACTCTCCTTCCTTGGAGGTTTTTAAGCAGAGGTTGGATGGCCATCTGTCATGGATGCTTTTGCTGAGATTCCTGCATTGTTGGAGGTTGGACTAGATGACCCCTGGGTTCCCTTCCAACTCTACAATTCTTTGATTCTATAGTTCTAGGTATATGGCTGTCCACTGTGAGAACAGGATGCTGGACTAGATGGGCCATTGGCCTGACCCAGCAGGCTGCTCTTATGTTCTTAAGAAAAACACATTTCCACAATAGTTACCTGATCTCACATTTTCATCTTTTCTAATGTATGGTTTTATGCACCATTGTTGTAAGCCACTCTGATTTCTTTTGAATAAATATTTTTATAAAACAAACAGACACATAACCCCACAACCACTGTCGCTCAAATCCCAAATATTTCCTGGGGAGTAAGCCTGTATCCTTAGCCAGTGTCCCCCCCCCCTAAAAAAATGTTTAGGTGTACTCTCA